TCTTAACTATTTTCGCATGACAGCTGTCAGCCACCAACAGAAGCTTTGCTAATTCCTTGCCGTACCTCCAGCACAGGCCCTCTGCCGTGTGCAACAGGAGGTCTAAGTAGTGAATTTTGTCCTGAATGGTACTTTCCTCCCTGAACGTCAAGTCCCCAAATCCTGGCATTTGTCTACTATGCACTTCTTAACCGTCTCTACCAACCCTTCCTAGAAAGCACAAATCAAAATGTCGTCAGAGACGGACAATGACAGCTCCACTCGGCAAAAATATTGCACAACCGCGTCAACGTGAACATCCATCTCGTTTAAAAAAATCTCGGACAACACTGGAGCAATTGACGACCCTACTGCACTGGCTAAATTGCTCATCTACAGCGAGTGACTCGTCGCAACTTTAAATGGCTGACCAACGACTCTCTGTATAAATATCCCCATAACCCAAAACGATACATACTCCATCTTTTTGGATAAAAAAAGAACCATCAATGATCAAAGTCTACAGCAGTGGATTCTAAATAAAACTCCGGAATGCTAAAAAAAAAAAAAAAAAAACTCTTTACAAATTAATTTCAGAAGCAGACTGAAACCACTAGGTTATCATCACACCACCTCCTGACCTTTAACAGCTCCGACCTATCCATAGAGTAGTATAAATCCTTGATGTCTAAAGTTGTCACATCACACTTTCTGCCATGATGCGGATTCAATATTTCAATCAATTGTTCCGAGTTTTTGAGTGACAATGGACTGTTGAGCTCCACTATCCTGCCAGGCATTTCTGGATAAAAACCGACAACACCTTCTGCCAAGTTCCATTTTCGCTCACAACCCCTCTACACCAGGATGTACTTGTTAGAGTTGTGCTCAAGGTGTTAGGAAGGTTTAATCCGGCTCTTGTGAAAAAAAAAAGCGGTTTTGAAGTATGTTGTGTGTGTGCCTTACTACCATGAAACCTCTCATAACTTCATATCAGTGGCAAACAGTATTGGGCAGTACTTTAAGTGCATTCAGGGATGGGCAAAATACATGCAAATATGTATCGAAATACAAATACAGAATACTTCGTCAAAAATGTATTTAATTACATATCGAATTACATTTCCAAAAAAGCATTTAAGTACAAGATACAAATACAACCAAATGTATTTGGTCTCCTCCAAATACTTTTCCAAATACATTCCTCAAAATTTGCGTCAGCGACTTCAGGGCACCTGCAACGGGTTTCTGGGTATCTCATTTTAATTTTGCATCGCACACTCGGGAGTTAGTGTGCGAGGCTCTAGTAACGTAATAGAAATATAATCACAAAAAAATGTAATCAGCTTGGACGTAATAGGTGAAAAAAAGCACAGAGCTTCAAGCAGCTTTTTTTGCCGATTACATTTTGGTATAGACCAACAAAGAACCGAGACTACCAAGACGCGCAGCACTAGGTAGAGATTTTTTTTATTGTTACAACTCTCACCAGTTACGAAAATCTGGACGACCCGCGGATTTAGAATGTTCCAGACAAAAATATGGATGGAAATCAGGCTGGAAAGCATCACAAGTTGTCACAGGCACTTATTTAGCCAGTCTGCCTGTGAACGTCGATTTCGTCACTATTCTTGCCCTGGACTAGCACCGTAATCACAAAGTCACTAAACGCTTGTGCTTGATTGAGAGACACTGCATTCGGTAAAAATAAATTTGAGGGATGTATTTTCGCCCACAAAATTGTACTTGATTACAATTATATTTGAAATACCGACGTTTTAATATTTAAATACACACGTCAGATACATTACCCAATTTGTAATTAAATACAAATGCAAAATACACAAAGTATTTGGAATGCGTATTTCAAATACTTGTATTTGAAATACTGCCCATCCCTGAGTGCATTGTACTTAAAGTACTACTTTAAGTAGTTTAAGAAAGCTTGTACTTTACTTGAAGTACATTCTTTGAGTACGTGCTTGTACTTTACTTGAAGTACATTCTTTGAGTACGTTCTTGTACTTTACTTGAAGTACATTCTTTGAGTACGTTCTTGTACTTTACTTGAAGTATTTTTTCCGGTCTTTTCCGAGCAAAGTACAACTCCCAACTTCAAAGTACATTTCCAAAATAGACACAGTGACAGACAAAGGACACGAAAACGTGCTTTTTGGGCAAAGTGAGATTAATCGTGTTTTTGGCATCTACTGCCCAACCTTTTTTCTTTCTGTCGGGGGGTGGATTGATGTCTTGTCACAATCGGTAGAAAATCTCCAAGCTGCCCGCTGCCTGCAGGAGCCAGCTTCCACGGAAGTCGTCTCTTTTGTCATTCTCAGACGGCAATAACTATACTCCATTTGTTGTGTAAAGCGCTGAGAAAGGCATTAGGACGAGCGCATTGATCTGGGCGGTGCCTCCATGCACTCGGTGAAATCAAGCTCTTTCACGGACCACGCGCTCGCGTCCTTGGCGGCCCCAGTACTGTACTAAACAACTTCGGAGGGCGACTATGAGAGTTCACCAGCCTCCAACAAAGAAATGGTGTATCGGAATCTCATGAAAACGTTCTATTGTCCTTCGAGGCGTCATCCAGTCATTTCTCCGAGTGAAGTAATGGTGGCTATATGACCGACAGGAATGAGTGCCTTATAAGTTGAATAACTTAAATAATTCATCAGTGAGAGTAAAACAACAACTCTTTACACACTTGACTTTATACAATATTCGCCACCCTTTACAAAAATAACTGATGCACTTCCAATTGCCCCTAAAAAAAGCATAAAAAATAACCTAAAAAACACAGTATAGACGAACACGCTGTTTACAAACAAACCCACGTTTGCCCACACAAGGTGTGGCAACTGCGCATGCGCAGAAACCAAATGTGGAAGGAGTGAAGCGTCTGCGCATGCGCAGTGCCGCTGGCAGCGCCACCGGAGCAGCGTGACGTCAGGGCCGCGTGTTGGTCTATAGGGGATGAAAGGGTATCATGAAAGATTGTGTTAAAAATTACTTGTACTTTACTTTGAAAGTACGTTGTACTTATAGTAGTCTACTTCAAGTACATTGTGCCCAGTGTACTTACTACTTTACTTGAAGTACATAACCTCTAAATTACTTTATACTTTACTTCAAGTACTTGTTAAATGTACTTTACCCAACACTGGTGGCAAAGAGGTTTGATGTAAATTTAGTTTTCAAAGCTGAGCACAAATTAGAAAGATTAACCACTGACAAGCTTTAATTTTATATGTTTTTATGCCCTAAATAATTGTACTTCGAAAGCTAGCTCGATTTCAACTTGGCCCATTATTGTGAAAAGTGCGAGACTCAAGAATTTTTATTTCAAACATAAAATTAAAAAGAAGAACATTTCTAGAGAATTTTAGCTCTTCTATATACGAAGTCTTGAATCAGCAAAAAGAAGTTATAATTGTTTTTTTAACAGATCTAAACGTTACGAGACTCTAAAACGTGTCACTCGTGAAAACTGCAAAAATTGCAAGACGTACCTTGGGCCATTTCGAAGCCTAAAACTCCGGAATAACAAAAATGTTCCTAGTTCTAACTTGCACTTTGGTTATAGTCACACATCTTCCACCAACATATTTTTTTTTTTTTTTTCAGAAGTTTCTGAGAACCCGTCATTTTTTCTTGCACGATTTGAGATGAAATCCCCCATAAAACAGAGCAATGAATACTTACGCCTATTTCAGAGTCTGTCCCAATAGGAGTGCTGAAGTATGGGTATAATTAGTACAGGCAACACAGTTGGGCGGATGACGACAACCAGAGCAGCTGGCTCCGCTTCGCTGACCCACATATTCGGTATCGTAAATAACCGTGCTGCGCATCTCTGCGCAATTCAGAGTATACAGAACATGAAAAAATGAAAAATATCTTCAAATCTGCTTTAATTGCTTTAGCTCCAGAGTCGAAGGCCTTTTCCCGTTTCGTGTAATCACTACCGCGTGACTCGCGCGTCAAGGACCCCGATTTGCAAGCAGTTCTACTGTACTGGCCAAGACAAAACACCTGCACTTATTCATTTGTTTTCACGGAGTACACTCAGAACAAGTTAGAAAAACAAAACTTCCTGTGTTAAGGGTTTAATGAAGAATTGAACTGGACGTGCAGCCACTGTTCCAAAATGTAAAAAAAAAAAACAAAAAAAAAACTAGGATGTATTTATGGAATATATAAACATAGTTCCAAATATAATTACATTCCTCGTTATGTTATTGAAAATAGCAGATGGTATACTGAATTGGAGCCCAACAGTGATGCACCACAAAAATAACATAGTATTATATATATATATATATATATATATATATAAAAAGAAACAATCTTCCGCATGGTAAAGAAGTTTTGCCGACACCGGGTAGAGGACGAGGCCGTAGTGCTGAAATGTTTGCGTCAGCAACGAAGGCCAATGCTGAACATAGAAGGAAAACGATTGTTGTGTCAGCGCACGTCATCGAGTCAAGTTAGAACCGAACGTTGACGTAATCGCCGTTTCCAATCTGTGCCCAGCGTTGGACTTCGCTGATGACGTTATCTCATTTAGCACTACGGCTTGGTTATCTCGGAGGTGTTGCTGAAGCCCCATAAGCCTCCCCCCTGGCTACGCCATTGGGCAACACACGCGCATGCACACGCGCTCGTGCGCACACACAACAATAATTCACTCGAAACAGATATGGCACACCGATGTATCATTCATAGTTTTATTGATGTCTTTCCGGCAGCACTACATTCTGTCCAAATATGTTCTGCGGGGTACATGGTAACTGGGCCGGCTTCCTCGAAACAGCGTCTCAGCTGAGATTGGGAGAAAGAAAGCACTGCCAAAGCCAAAGCACGAGCTGAGCGGGACTGAAACCGCGCCTGAAGCCGCTTGCGCGCCACTGCCTTTGCAGTGCTTTCTTTCACACAGTCTTAGCTGAGACGATGTTCTAGCAAGCCGGCCCTGATTTCAATACGATGGCCTCAGGAAGGGGTTGTCGGCGAAAAGATCAAACCGCGTAAGGACCCGACCGGGAAAATTCCTGAGCTGACGGGAAGACAGTCCCGTCACCGGGTGTCGTGTAGACCGGCACGAGCCAGAGGCGCTTCTGGGGTCCCAGGACCTGAGCCATGTTCCTGCAGACGCCCAGGTCGTAACGCCCTCGTTCGGACCGCGAAATCATCTCGAGTGTGGTCCTGTTCTTGCAGACGAGAAACAGGTGGTAGAGAAAAAGGAGTAAAAAGGCAGCGCCGAAGAAAAGGGCCATAAGGAAGAGGAAGGTAATGCTGATATCGGGCCAGAAACCCAGGATCATGCGCGTCTCGATGCCGAAATGGCGGTACGTGGTGCACGATATGTAAGCGCAGTGCACGGTGGAGTAGAACAGGAAGAGCAGGAAATACTTGTAGTTGTTGAAGGAGACGCACGTGTTGAACCAGGGGCAGTGGTGGTCCATCTTGAGCACGCACGTGTCGCACAGGGAGCAGTGGTGACAGCGGTCCGGTTTGATCACGTGGCACTTGTAGCAGTACCGGCGCTTGCGGTCGTCGCTGTCCAGCCGCTGCATCACGTAGAAACAGACAGGCACCGGCTTGAGCGGCGTGGACAGCATGCGTTCGAAGGGCCACAACGAACCCAGCAAGGTCAGGTGGAAGCCCAGGAGACGAAAGAACCAGGCGAGCAAGCCGCGTTCGAACAAGAGGCCGTTGCAGAGCAGCACCACGTAAGCATAGTAGGCCCAGGCGAGGATTACAAACTCGAAGATTATGGGCGCCCGGCGCAGCACGTTGAAAACGCTCCTGATTCGACCGCGTGGTGCTGAGCAGGACGGGACGAGGACCCTGAGGAGGCGCAGGAACGAGCCCAGACAGCCGCCGAACCTCGCTCCTGCTTGGGTCTTGCGAGGCAAGGTCTGCGGTAGAAGAGGCTGCAACTTGTCTCCTGCGTCGTGCCTTGGCGATTTCATTAAGGTTCGCCTGCGTCTTCCGATGTGCTCGAAAGCTGATCTGTTTCTAATGCGGAAAGGAACGTTCGGATTGTTGGGACGCTGGATTGTCGGTCAAAATTCACGCGAACACGTGCGACGTGAACTTCCACTTCTTTAGCTTTGGTGACAAGAGTCACGGCCGGACTGGAAGCGCGCGCTCTCTTTCTCTTCTTACGGCCTTTGTAATAGACCGATCTCACCAGCTTGTTTGAGTACGCCACCGCTGCCGCCATGCATCGTGGGAGCTGTAGTCTTTCTGCACGCGCGACGACCTCGCTGGAGCTCTGTGTGAGCAGAGCACGAGTTGGCGTGATGAGCTGTCTCGTGGAGTCTGCACCCTACACGGGCGTACCAACCGGGGGGGGCAAGGCCCCCCCCCCCCCCCAGTTCTCGGAGTGGTGGGGCAAGGCATGTGTTTTGCCCCCCCCCCCCCCCCCCCCCCCCACACACACACACAGAAAAAGCCGCCACTGGGCACGGCAAACACTACCCGTCGGCGCCACAGGGATACAAAGGGCACCGCCCCGGCCCTGGAGGGGGGGGGGGGTTCTGATTTGCCCCCCCCCCCCCCCTCAAAAACAACTTGGTACGCCACTGGCAGCCACCTGATGCCACGCGCAGAGCAAAAGCCGCCGCGCCAAATTCGTCGATTTTTCGCTGTATATTCGTCCCATGGAGTTCAGCCTTTAGTCGTCTCGCCGTTAACAATGGCTGTTTGTGCATCGTGTATAACGTGACCGAAATCCCCTTTATTTGCGCTACGACGCTACTCTCTTTTTTCTCTTGCACGCGCGAGAGGTCTGCATTTTTGTAACTCTGCCTTTATTAGTTTCAGTAATAGCGTCAGATTCGCATGAGCACAATTGACTTTTTCTAGAACATACTGACATCGCAGTAACGTACGTGGTTCGGAATTGCCTTTTGCTTCTTCATCCGGAGACGATCTTAGCGGGATTAGCCAGCCCGTCTATTCGACAAAACGGTTTTAAGCAGGACATTCATGAGAACCGGGAATTGCAACAACAAAACAAATTGATTGATATGAAACAGTAAAGCTGAAACGTGGCTATGTTCTGAAATTTTTGTACATTGCCCTTTTTCAAGGAAAAGGGCGAAGGTACATTCGTGTTTTGCCTGGCTTACATAAGTTCTGTTTTCGACCGCACTCCGCGGGAGTTGTAAGCATTGGCTTACTTAGTATTCGTTTGCACTCTCGCGTTTAGCCACCCTACTCTCGCGCGTCGACGAATCGCTCCAAGGTAGCAGTCGGCATTCTTCAAAGGATATCGCTACTTTTCCGTATAAAGAGGCTTTAGTCGTCAGCGCTGAGAAGTTGGAAAAGACAACGCGATTCTGGGAAATTCTTTTTATTGTCTGGTAAGATTGTTCGTTAGCCTTTCGTTAGCCTTCTCATTAGCCTTTGACATTGGCTGTGTTCCAAATCTTACCCTAATGGATCCTTACTCCGTCAAATCGTGTCGCGCGACAACACAAATTGAAAAGGACTGAACGCGGGTAGGTTTTGGAACGCCAAGGTACAAAATCCTTATCCTGGAGTAAGATCGAGTAAATTTTGGAGCAAAGCCATTGAAACCGAGCAGTTAGGGTTTTCGCTCCACTTTTTTTTTTTATATTACAGTTGCTAGGCCTGTTCCATTTGCCTGAAATCGCTGAACCATAGAGTTATTATAATGTTCGCTAGAGGCTTAAGTGGCGCTAGTGTCTATGCGACTTTCATGACGCTAATTGAAGCAGACAGCAACCGTGGTTTACTTTTGCGGTGCTCCTGCGCATTCCCAAGGGAAAACGCGCGTCCATTTTCTCTCTTCGTCGAAAAATAACAGGGAACACTTTGGTTATTTGGGTCGTACCGAATAGCATGTAGCTTGATTAACATTGCAAAAGTGTAATTTGCTTTAGTTATCACAATTTTCTTCATGAGTGAACGATGTTGAACTTCACTGCATTTTGGTCCCAAACGTGTGCTCCGCAGCAGGTGTGTAAAAACAAGCTCAGATTCAAAGCAAAATAACAATAGAAAGGAATATATAGAGTGTGTTCAAGGCTCGCCAGCATTCCGGTGACACTTATATATTGCTAATATGCCAGTTCTGTCACTATATGAAAATGACTCCGTCTTGCACTTTTACGAGCGGTTAAAAACATTCAAAATGTAACGAATACAGTACGTGGGCTATGAAAGGTTCTCTTTGTGTTTTTTTCGCTGCCAGGCAGCTTTTATCGGGCACGTAATCTCAAAGATTTCGAGCGTGCGGGTTTTAAACGTAGAACAAGCATCTTCGCAAAGAGAAGAAAGAATAGAGCAGTACTTACTTATTTAGAATCGGAATATATTACGTGGCCTTCAATTTAATTTGATCGTATATTAACGGGTAGTTACTCATCCAGTGTTACTGCATAGTTCTTGCTATCCCTCTTGGTTTCCAGATGTCCTTCGTTTGTTTGGCACGCATATCCCCCATGCTGAAAAGTGCCGACGTTGTGTTCGCGCTAACAGTGTCCGGCAGTGCACAAAAACACATGTGCGAAGCCGTGTTAGCGCCGTTTCTGATGCGATGAATGTGAAAGAAAAACGTCGTAACTGATCAATTATTTCGTCTGCCTGATCGAGAAATGTTTCAAGCTACCTAGTACGTACGAATTATTCGGCGTATTTGCTCTTATGATCGAGCGCAGGGAGAAAATGCCCTCACTTTTTCCCATAGAAATGTATGACCGGAAGTCAATTTTCGACTGGTTACAGTCTGCTTCAATTTGCGTCAGCACACTAGCGCCACTTGAACCACTAGTGTACATTATAATAACCCTATGGATGAACTAGTTCAGCAGTGCAAGAACTGGCGCATTCGATTCAACCGGAAGTTTCACGACCGCTGGCACTGTCGCGTTTTATTCAAGTTAGTTCTGAACGAGTTCAGTCCCAGTCCCGCACCCCCCTCCTTCGTCGCCCCGCTGGGATGTCCCTTTTTCTGCCTTGAGGAATATGGTCACCCTAGCTCTTAAGCACTATTAACCATGGCTATGTTCCAAATCTGCTCTAATAGATCACATGGGAGCACAAATAGAGCAAAGCTGTGGAGCAAGGAGGGTCTTCGAAGGCAAAAGTACAAGACGGCGAGAATAAAAATCTTTAAAGCGCGGCCCGTATGGTCGCGTGCAATCTCGTGACCAATCACAATCAGGCGAGCCGCGCCCAAAGGTCAAGTGCAATTAGGTAGGATATAATGAGCCAGCACTGATCGGTGATGAGCTGTTGTGCGCGGTATTCTGTAAATTGTCTAACAATGAAAAAACTACGTACCTTTCCTTTCTCTTCCGTCGCTACTGGACGCTGGATCAAGTTCGTTCATGAACCGCCGAGTACCGCAAGTTCCAAATACAGTCATCAATGTAAAGTAAGACACTGATCCAGAGGCGCATACGGCTTCACGCACATTGCACTCGCAAAACACATCCACACGGCGTGGATTCTTGATCGGTGTCCAAGCGTGGGAGGGCAGAGAGACGCAGTACTTCGTCGTGCCAAGGAAGCTTTGAACACGCCGCCAGACCGTCGAAACTTGCTTTCGACGAGTTGTGCCTTTTTCTCGCGGCACTGCGCTTTCGTAAAAATTTCTACGCATTCTCGACGGCAAGTATCACGGCTCACACGGGATCTTAAAGAACGTCTTCGGCGAATGACGACGAACGAGTAGAAAACGTGTCTTTAGCACGCTGCCGCCGGCCTCTGCAACGCTAGCGAAAAAAGAAAAAACTGACATGCAAGTTGGTTGTCTGGTGGCCGCACTCGCGCTGCAGCGAATACACGTTTGCAAATCCGGCTTCAGGGGGCTGCCCTCTTGCTCGACTGGGGTGCGCTTGGACCAGTCATAATCCGGTTACGAAGCCTTGCTAAGGCGTTGTAATCGGATTATGGCCGCGCCCAAGAGCGCACCCCACTGAGCAAGATGGCGGCGCCCTGAGGCCGGAGGGATAATCACCGGGTACGGGACGCCTTTTTCGGAGGTCGATACGGGGCAGTGACGTCCGTGACGTTACTGCCGGAAACGTAATATATATATATATATATATATATATTATATTACGTTTTGTGGAGAGCTTGTTGCAGGTTGTTGTGTCCAGTGTTGGGGCGGGGGGAGGCGGCGTGTTATGTAGCAGTGCTATACGCAAAAAGAACAGAGGCCAGATTCACGAAACGATCTTACGCCAAAAATGTACGCACGACAACAGCTCCGGAGCTGTCTTTCTACGATCAAATCAACATGACCGACAACGTCGCTCAGTTACATGGTCGCGACTGGTCGCGACGACCAACGGACATTTATTTTTTTACGTGCTCTTCTCGCGAGTCCCGATTTCAAACAGCAAGAAGAAAGAAGGAAGGACTTAAAACCGGCCACGACGAACACGATCGCGGGATCCATAAACACCCGGGAAAAGCTACAACGGCAACGGAAACACGCAACCGAGCGAGCTCGACAGAATCTAGGCCTAGCAGGCACTTCGACTCGGCGCAGCGTTGCTCCGACCAGCGCCGGAGGTGCTCCAACGGTCCTTGGCCAAGACCGTCTGCCCACGACCTGCTGGCTTGCTTAATGGAATACGCGCCCGCGCGACCCTTGTGGACCCTTCGCGTATTATACTAGGTGTTTCAAGGAGCGGATAGGCTCTTTAAATCGACCGCAAAATTCGGTTTCTTAACCCATCGTGCTACGACTTTGTGCAGCAGTGCCCACAGATGGTGCTTTTCTTTTTTTTTTTTTGTAAAATTTGCAAAAAGCAAATTTCCCTGAGGAAAAGGTAATTCACACGATTCAGACGCCCGCCGGCCAAGCCGACGCTGGCGTGTGAATCGTGTGAATAAAGACGATATTCTAATATTGCATATGTTTGAAATATGATGAGTTTCAGGCAGTTATAAGAATTTATAGCGGAGTGCGATGCAAAATATGGTATAT